GGATCAGAATATTGTTATTTTTTTTTTAAAGCTCCAACTTTTTTTTATAAGCGTTTGAATAACAGATAGTTACGTAATTCTTATCTAATTAAAGGTCAGACCTATAACTTTTTAATTATTTGAGCATCGATTCTCTTTATAGCTAGACGTTGATCATTTCTACTGGAAATGCCTATTGAAGGAGCTTACTCTTTGACTTTAAATAGCAAAGAAGGGGCAGTTTTACCACAGAAGTTTTTAGCCAAGGATCCAATGTACATATATCCCTATGAAAAAAATATTATCCAACAAGTAAACAAAACTACTGTTTTTAAAATTTTTGCTAAAAATAAATTCCCCAAAGAGCCCCATTTGAAATTATTCGAACGAATATATGTAATAGGTGGCATACGCGGTACGTCTGACTCGCGAGTCATTTGTGTACGTGTTGACTCGCCTTCGACTACACACAGTTGAATCATTCAGAGTCATGCCGGAAGTCATGTTGGTGTAACTAACACATATTTATTTTCACAAACACATCCAAACAGACTCACGAGTCAGACGCACCGTGTATGCCGCCTATAACATCAAAAGCAAATCACGAAAATTGTGTTAAGACTTACAGTGCACACGTTCTTCTTTTGTGTCTAGTAGTTGTTTTTTTAAGATTGGCCCAAAAAAATCATAATAAAGAAAGAAGCCAAAGCAGGTATTTAAAGCACAGAAAAAAAAAATTATTAAAAGGACTATGTTCTCTTTGACGTACGTCAAAGGTCAAGTAGAAGTGGGAACTTTTATGGCTTCCCATTGATAGCTCGGTTATATAGCTTAAGAAATAATATTTTAAAGACATTTTTATCAAAGTTGATAAATATGACATTTGACCAGTTTTGTTACACAAATACTCCTACGACAGAGGGAAAAATATTGGCTACAATATGTAATTTTATTTTGCCATATATACGTTTTATCGGTCCCTTTGCAAAATATTCGCATTCGCAAAAGCTCCGCACTGATTATTGCGAATGCGAAAGCGAATGCGAATGTTAAAATTAATGCGGAAGCTCCGCGGTTGCAAATGCGAATGCAGTAGCTATAGTACAGTGTTGGGAAATGAAATTGTATCTTCAGTACGAAATCTATACAAAAACTATACTTTTCGACTATAAATTGTATCAACCTTTTTATTTGCTCATATATTTTCTTAGTACATTCCCTTTAAGACCAATGATTTTATGATATTTATGAGAAAGTTTTCTTGTTAATGTACCCCCATTCACGTATTTTACACTTTCACAAATTGATTCCACGTGCACACCCAACGGGGGCAGAAGCGCTCCATTAGTTCTATTGGAGCGCTTCATATTCAGCAGTAAGCGCTCCCTTCCTAATTTCATACTTCATTGTATTTTAACATTGTGTGTCATTAGTAAGAAGCGCTCCCTTGCTGCTCCCAAAGAAGCCCTTGGTGAGCGCTTCAACGAAAGCATTTAAAAAGCAATGCATGCAAATTTTAATTTTTATATTATATTTTTATTTTAATAAAAGAATGGCGTTTTTGTAAACGATTTGATGGTTTTATTAAGTGTACTTATAAACATGTTTTTTTTTTCTTTTCTATGTGGTATACATACGAAAATACATACATACATACATGTTTGCACATAAATTCCCTATAAACATTTTGGCGAACGTTCGAAAATTACCTTCGATATCCAATACGAATATCGAACTGAGAATGAACTCATAACCAACCTTAGTTTTCCAACGTTCATAGTGTATTGGAAATAAATTCGAGATGTGTTCGAAAAAAAAATTAAAACCGTAGTAACAAGAGAGGAAGTGAAATCAAACTCATTTTCGAATGGAAATATAATACAATCATTCTCTCTCATTAAAATTTAAATTCGATAATGGGCTGAATTTCGAATTCATAACGAAGGAAAAATTTATTGGATGACGAAGGTTCCGTTTTGCTGGAAAATGGCCTAGTTCTCGAATCGAATACTAACCTATTCCACATTCGTTATCGAAGGTGAGACTTGAAAAAAATGTTAGTTTTCCAATCATTTTCGAATTGTTAACAAAGCCCAATGTTTATCGGGTTAACTTTTTTCAAAAGAAAATATTTTATGTTACTACTCAAAATGATATTTATTTCTGAGCATTGTTAGAAATTTAAAAAATTATTTTTAACTTTGTTTTTGTACTGCTCCGTACTTGCTCCTTTGGGGAGCAGCTAACTTTCAGTCCCGTTGGGCATGTACTTCATTTAATGTAAATATGTAGGCACATATTTTCAGGTATACTTCTTAACAAAAAAGATTTTTAAGTTAATGGACAAAAGAGAAATTTTCTTTGGATTCAGTACGAAATTTTACATTTTAATAGCATTTCAAGTGCAAATAAAAACATAACGACACTCACATATTGACAAGATTTGAACATTTATTTTAATATTATTTAATTTTAATTCTTTTTTATAAAAGTACAGTTTATACTTAAAGAAAAGCCGTACGAATCCAAGGTTCAAACTCTGTGCAACGTTAAAAAAACCAACATATTTTCGCAAAAATTTCGAGCTTTTTAATCAGATTTCCTAGATATGTTTTGAGTATGCAGTTTTGTCGCCCATTCAATATTAATATAAAGATTTTTAAAATTTTTTTGATGAAGGTGTTGCTCATTTTCTTCATATAAAGAAAACGTCGAACACACTTAGTATGGAAGAAAATGACTGACATCGTCAACAAAAAAAAAGCCAAATTCAACGGTAAGTCTTACTTTAAACTTGCACATTGGGTTTTTTAATGTTGCACAAAGATTTAAACTTGGATTTATACAGTTTTTGTTAAGGGATAAATTATATTTTTATAAACCGATAATTACAATTAAAAAATATAAAATAAATAGTAAAATTTTGTCAATATGTGAGAGCCGTAAAGTTATTATATTTAAGAAAATCTCTTCTTTTAATTAACGAAGACTTTGTTTTTATATGAAGCTGATGTCGACATTTTGTTTTAATAAAACTTAGTATCAAAAATATTCTTTCAAAATTTGCCTAGGAATGTGCAGCTGATAGCACACCCTAGGCTGTATTATAATGGTTCGTTCAAGTCATTTTTGACATTTTTTAAAATTACGAAAAGGCGAAACGAAATCGTATCAAAAAAGTACAATTGTAGCCAAAATGCCAACACTGGTATAGTATATCAAAGAAATTACAGTTTTTTTATTATTTGGATCATAAAATATTGTTTTTAATTTTATTTTGACCACCATAAAATAATCCAAATGGGGCAACTACAAAACAGCTCTTTGTATAAAAATGACCCAAAAATATTTTTTTTTATAAATATGTAGGTTTTCTAATATTTTTCCTAATATTTTGATACATTTATAACTACGAATAGACCATTTACACACCTACACACATTTATGAGCGGCCAAGAGTCCTCTTCCGGTTTGTATATAAAAAATTGCTTTCAACTCACCACACACTTTTGTTTTTCGAAAGACAATTGTCACTTCTGGCAACTCCAAAGCTCTTTACCGCCTTTCGTAAGACTAGTTGAAAGATCTGCTAACGAGAAAGTCATAGCCTTATGCAATAAAGAAAATTTTTAAAAATTTACATAAATTAAAAGAATACATACACGTAAATATTCCTTTCTAAAACAATAAAGGTAAATAAAAAAGTTTAATTAGAAAAAGAACAAAAAATTTGCAAAAAAAGTAAATAGTACCTTAAAATTAAATTACATTAAAAAAGTGAGATCCTAAGAATTAAATGAAATAATGTTCTTCTTTGTTACACAATAAAGCTAAAGACTAAAAGAAAAAAAAGAAAATAATTAAAACAAGTAAGTTCCTAAATAAAATGAAATAAAAAAAGATTATTTTTAAAACAATAACAACCAAACCACCAAAGAAAATTAAATAAAAAAACTATTTAATAAAGACAAAAAAATACATAAAATAAGTTTCTATAAATTAAATTAAATAAAAAATTATATACATACTATATATCCTTAATAATCAGAAAAAGTAAATTAAAAAAGGATACAATTAGATTAAAAAAAATCCTCTACGTCTGGACTAGAACTCCGCTTGTGCTTTTCCCTCCCGGCCATTGCGACTGTTGAGTGACACGAGTTAAATTATATACTAGTGCTTTCTATCAAAATAGATTTTCACTAAGACCTTTGCGTTAGCATAACAAAATTCGTTCAAACTATCTTGCCATCTCTCTCTCATTTGTCTTACAAAAGGCTTCTTACCATCTCTGCCAGAATTGCCCTGTAGGTCTCAGTAAGCACCGTGAACGGTGCAGTAAATAGCAAAGGCAAAAATTATGGTAGTCCACCGTTGTGTACCATTGTGTAATTTAACATAAGCTTATACCTAGTAGCTTCGGATTTCCCAAGTAATAGTAACTTTCCTTAAAGTGAAATACTACAGATCATAAATACGAGCGCCAGAACTTTCTTTTTCTTATTTGTTTTGGGTTAGTTATTCCTGCTCCGACCAATAGTCTAAAGGTTTTTTTTTCTAACAGAAGTCGCCCTCGGCAGTCAATGGTTTTTTTTTTATGCGCTTTTGTTGGTTCAATCTAATTCTTTTCTTGTGTTAAAACGTATTCAAGTCAATCAAAAATACGCAAGGTATTTTCTTAATTTTCACCACTTTTAACAAAAAATCAAAGATCCGGCGAATAAAATAACAGACAACGGATACATCATCTAAACTGAAATAGACAGACAATGGACATTTTCACCGCTGAACAGGTGCTGGCTACGAGTATGCACATAAAAGAATAATGAATGGAAACTTAACGAACTCTACGAAATGCTTGTATAGTAGATATCGTTCGACTAACCAACTATTCAAATAACTCACAGAAACACCGCTTGATCGAAGCTTTTTCAAAGTATGTATTGTCGATTAGTGTAAAAGTGTGTGACGCATAATTAGCAAAAGTCTTATATATATTCACTTTCCTTGCCGATACCAACCTTTCACGAAATAAGAGCTCTAGGCCCTCCTCGGTGTGTATGGACTCAATTTGTATGAAGTACAAAATCAAGCAGCATAGAGCTAGGCTGCCGTTCAAAAGATTTTGCGGTGGAATCATCGCTGCTGGTTGGTTAGGCGATAGTGACTTTTATCCGTCAAACGAACGCACCGAATGCAACAGCCACAAGAGTAATGGAAACAAATTAAAAATTCTTTAGCACTTCACAGATCAGGCTGTTAGCCACGCTTCTCCAGCGAAGTAGATCTGCCCAACTGGACGAGTCAACGACAAAGTGTAAACTGAACATCTGCCATCATGTGTAGTAGCGTTTTGAAAAGTAACTTGCAACCAATCCGTGCGAAAACAAAAGGGCAGGCTGCCCGCGATTTAAAACACCTGCAAACTGCTTGACCTGTGGGAGGGCTCAGAAGCCAGGAACACCATATGATATTTGAAATTACGACCTCAGAAAATCAGATGTTGTCGTCGTTGCACGCACATATGTTAAATTTTGCTTGGTTTACTTAATTTTATTACTCTTCTACATATACTATACTTATGTGCAAACAGGCTTTGTGGCTTGCATCCATTCTAATGAAGACATATCTGCCTCTATAAGTTGGCTATTTGCTTGCTGTTTTATTCAGATGTTGTTGTGCTGCGTAAATTAGGCGATAACAGGGTTGTCCTTGTACTCAGGTACAACGCGTAACGGAATTAATACCAGCTGAAAGTTATTTTGTTTTTATTTGTGCGCAAATATATGCCAACAACAACAAATATGTATGCAAACATACGTTCATATGTATGTACTTCCTACGCTTAAGTATTAGATCCAATGCAGCACTGAGTAAACCTGATGTGTTTTTTTTTGCTATTTCATTGCTTTCTGATAAAGGCCACTAAAATTTTACTTCGCAGGTACGCGATGCTCTTCGTTGAGGCTCAAATGACTCCACTTTTTTATCCTTTCGAAGCCCTGCAGGAAAAGTTGCTGAACTAGATTTCTTACAATTGAAAAAATTTTAGCCGTTTAAATGGCCCCCATAAATGCTGTAAATGACTGAATTTTCTTTCTACCGTGGATCACTTTAAAGATTCTGAGAAATTATAAATTCATCGAAAATAATTTTACTTAAAAAAGTTGCTTTTTTCCTCTAGGTTCCAGAACATGGTCCATGTGTCAATGGTCAACTAAATTGGCCATAAATTTTACTTAAAAAAATTGCTTATTTCCTCTAGGTTCCAGAACATGGTCAATTTGTCAATGGTCAACTAAATAGGCAATTTCAGTATAAAAAAAGTTTATAGGAAGATTTTACACTACGGTTTTTAATTGTTGTATACTGTCGCATAGTTGTACAATATACATACATATTTATATCGTAAACTTCCGAAAAGAACCGAAAAGAAGCCCAAGTATTAGAAGATTTTTTCTATTTTCAAATCGAGGTATGTTTTGTTTTATTAGTAAATTACACTGGTTTACAATAAAAATGTATGTAAAAAAAATGTATGTATGTAAAAAAAAATAGCCTTAGGACAAACTAGTTTTTCCTAGGCTAAACTAGTTCTTCCCAGCTCCGATAATCCGTCCAACGCGGAAACAAGTTGGACGCAATAATTTAGTGGACTGCATACCTGGAGTTGGACTGATGAGGGTTATTTTTTTTTTTGAAGCGCGGCCGAAGGCCCCCTATGCGAATAGGTGTTCTACGCAAAAATACTGTGGCGCCTGATCTAGTTTAGCCTAGGCAAAACTAGTTTGTCCTAAGATCGGGTTTGGCCGGTAAAATATACATCGCTTTTCGATAGGCCTGATAGTTTCTGAGAAATGAAATTATAATTTCAGAAATTTTTTTTTGATTTCCTGTATGAAAAATGAGGAAAGAGTGTGCATGTCGTATGAGTAACATTCTTTCCTGTTCACTTTACATACAAAAAAATCTTTGCGCATTTTCAGTTGACTACTCATTCCATTTTTATTTATCCATCCCAGCCAGAACAGGCTTACCATAGAACAAAATTAACTAGATTTTTGGAATCAGCGGACGATTGTATATAGCAATTGGATAGGGGCAAAAACATAAAAAAACCCAAACTTGTTACCCAGAGTTAGTAAAGTATTAAGAAAATAATAAGAAAAAACATTTATATTTGGTCAGTCCGCACCTTGTTTTGATCCAAAGGACATATGTAGATCAACCTATATCATGATTTTAATTTTTTAATCGAAGTTTTAATAAATTTTTAGGGTATGCTGTTTTGTAGCCCCATACAGTTTTGTACAATAAATTGCATATTTAAAGTTTTTCTCTCCTTCATGTTATTTTTAATAATATTTTTGAAGTGAAACTTCTTTAGCGGCGTTTGGTTGGTGGCGTTAAATTGGCAAATTTAACGGAAATGGTTGCAACGGAAACAAGTGCTTCTTAAATGTATCAATTTAACAAAAACGTGCTAATAGGCGGTTTAAGACCCTCTTAAAGAATATTTTTCAAACCAGATGCTCTTGAACTGTTTTCGTCTGACACTTACATTGTTGTGATATTTTATTTAAGTTATTAGTATTAATATTTTAACAGGTGGCAGCCTTTTTAGAAATATTTTCGAAATTAATTTTGACACCCACTTCATAATAATATTATAGTTAACTTATTAATTGACTTTAACTTCTTCAAAAAAAACTCGAATATGGTAATACAGGTTATAAGCGATCTATGCGCTAAATTTCATTGAAATCCAGCAGCTTTAGCGTGAAAGAGCAACAAACATTTTCAGTTGAGCAGCATAGAATTTGTCTTGATATCTTTTGATTTTGAAATTGTAGCAAACAATTTATGAGATTGAAAATAGACTTGAATTGATATGAAATATTAAATGTGTATGTACATATTAGGGTGGCCAGATATTACAGTGACATAATCAGTACAGTTGGGATCAAAAATCAGTACAAAGCCATAAAAATCAGCTCATTTTTAAGCGTATTTTTTATTATTAACAATATAACAACCAAATAACAGCGCATTAATTTAACTAAAAATATCTAATATACTTTTAAATACATATAGTATTATCAATATAAAAATTCATTACTTTAAAACAAATCAAAGGTATTACGTATGTATGTACAGCTGTGCTCAGGAAAATAGTAGTAAAATGTATTGAGAGGTTTGAAAATTTTTTCTTTCCTTAATTTAAATTTTTTATAAAAATATAGGTAATTCTATAACAAAAGACATGTGAGTTGAAGTCTCAAGCTTTCTAGAAAATTTACAAAAATTGAGAAAAAAAAAATAAAAATTTGTAGCCCATTCAGTTTCAGTAGAAGACGAGCTCGAGTCAGAATCTGTTTGCATATTTTAAGCTACAAATTTAAAACATATTTAGTTGGTGTGCTTATTAAATACAACATTCACATTAAAATGTTGACTAAAAGGTATACTACCGAATTATCGCTAAACGAATTTTCGAGTGCAAATGAAATTTAATAGTGTTAAATGTGTATGTGCAAGTAAAATTACAGGTGGTCGAACATCAAAAATCAAAGTAAAGCTACATATATCATATCCAAGAGTCGGTAGTTTGCACCTTTTCCAAATTTTTAGAACTTACATTGCACCGTAGCAGTAGTCGTCTTAAGTTTGAAATACTGACAGCCGATTTCTCAGTGGATGTTTAATTATAATCAAAAGATTATCTCTTATTGTCATCTTCTCAGTGTACTTAATATATGATTAACTCACCACCACCTTTCATAAGATTTATTTATGGCAAAACCAGCTTTTCCTGTAAATCCTGTAAAACCTGCAAATCGTGATTGCAAATCGGGTTGGGTTGAATCCAAACAGTTTGTTATATTGCGAAAACGAAGCAATTGCAAGCTGATACCTTTTTAATAATGGATCAAGTTTAATTAATGCTTTCAATCTGCTCACACGTATGAGTTGTCAAAAACCATTGTTTTGAACATGTAAACCTCAAGTAAATGTCAATTACACCAATTTACAAAAGTATTTATTAAATGTAAAAATCAGTACAAAATCAGTACAAACTCAAAAAATCAGTAGATTTTGCGTACTGATTTCGGGCTCTTAAAAATCAGTATAATAGAAAAAAAATCAGCACATGTACTGATTAAATCAGCGCATCTGGCCACCCTAGTACATATGTATGCATGTGGATGGATATTGAGCGCTTCAAATCGTTCTCAAATTTGTACTTGCGCTGTAGAAATTTTAGGTCTATGCTATGTAGTTTGACTATTGAATGAAAGACTGATTGTCAAGTAAATGTAATGGAATTGTATTGCATGCACTCCACGTTTTTCAATCTCATAAATTGTTTATAATGACTTTTGCTAAAATTTTAAAATCAAAAGTTATCAAAACTAATTCTATGGGACTGCGAAATATTATTTTATACTTTTTAGTACATTTATAGAAGCGTGGTATATTAAAAAGTTTTTTATTTTATTTATTTTCTACTTTTTAGTCTTGTCTGTATAAAATTTTGCAAGATACATATATCACAATAATTTAACGATATTCAGATATGTATTGTATTTTATCAAACTGATATTTTATTTCTTTTCTCTTTCAACATACATGTATATATGTACATTAGACATGGTCCTTAAATATTAGGAAGCACATTTTTACATCAAATTTCCTAAAACTCGATTGGATTGGAGTCGGTTAAGGCGTGTCGCACGAGAGTCAAAGTTCAGATTACCCTATGAAGACATCCAATCGGGACCAAAATTTATATGTGATATCTTCGATTATTTTGCCCCTTATTCTAATTACCTTAAACGAGCAATTTTTGTGTATATGTGTATGTATCCATAAGTTTCTCGGCAACGGCTCTAACGTAGCAAAATGAAAAATCGTTTAAAAAAGACTTTCGAAGTTGTATTTCTTCCAATTGTCAAAAACTTTTTATTTGTCACGGGGAAAATACCGTAAAATTATTTGTATCGTGCGAATATCTATAGAAATTATCAGGGTTTGAAAAACTGTTAGCACAGCGACAACAGCCAAGCATTTGCTTTTTTATAAATTGTTGTTGCTTTGCTAGCCGGCAATTACAAGTACCTGATGAAGATCTTGCAGAAGCAATGAGCTTAGCCGACGACGCTTAAAGGAATTTGAAGAAATGCGACAAGATGCAGAAAAACCTTTAATTTGCTTTTCGAACACGTAGAAGAAATATACCCCCAAAACCCCCCGTGTATCCGCTACTGGGACCACCTCTGAGTGTACCTTTCCGATACAAAAAGAGTTAT